ATAGCTCACAGATTAAAACCTATTGCAATCCCTTGGGGGTAATATTTGATGAGCAATGAGTAGATATTGATTTTTATTAATGAAGTAATTTTCTCTCAAAGTGTAAAAATGCTAAACGCTAAACAAAAGCATTTTCTCCAATTCATAAGTGCTTAAATGCTCTGAAAGCTAATGGGACATTCAACTTGTTCATCTACCTTAAGGTCAGACTGTTCAACTCCACACAAGTTAGGACACTTATTTTTGATAATAGTCCACAAATATTATCTTTAGTCAGCTCATTATCATGAGCAAATGAGGTCAGATGTTGTCCAGGTGACCGCTAGTGCTCGTAATGTGGCTCTAAAGCAACCCGTTTCAGCAGAGAGAGTTCTTTGAGTGACCCATTTTAAAGGCCATATGTATGTTTTAGAGGGTGGATACTTTTGTTTTTGCCTGAGGAAGTGAAAGTGAATATCTTTGAGTAGCTTTATCAAGCATCGCTCTCATAGAATAAATGTGTGTCGAAGATGCATTTCCCATGGCACCATGGATTGCATGATGCCAGCTGAATGGTCCAGCTGGCTTAGAGAGTATTTAGATACAGACATATGCATAATACTGTGTATATGTATACTATATATGGTGTGTGTATATATACAGTATATATGGTATACATATACCACATATCTGTATACCATATATACTGTATATATGCATATATATGTATACATACACTGTATATATGAGGAGACTTCCAAAAAAAGTTCATGGAATAATTCCATTATTTTTTATTGCATTTTTCTACTAACGTTTTGAAGCTCCCTTGTATAGTCATACATCATTTAATATCCATGATACATTCTGTGAACCAGGATGTTGCTTGATTTGGATGCTGCGTGAATACCACATTGAAGTCTGCTGCTCCTTAACACTGCCATCGAGTGGATTCCAACTCAGAATAAAGATGCCACAGTGAGTTACTCGTTAGGTTGCTAACCACAAGGTCAGCAGTTCAAAACCAACAACCACTTGCCTGGGGTATGATGCTTTCTGCTCTCTTAAAGATGTACAGTCCTAGAAATGCACAAGGGCAATTCTGTTCTGTTCTTTAAGGTTGCCATGAACTTTTGCTTTAAGCATCTTTTCAAAGCTTCAGACCTTAGCAGTGATGGTCAACACAATGCGAGCGATTCTCAGTGTTTGTCCTCAGTCAGATCATCAGCTATTTCCCCAGATCAGATACAGGGCCCTCTCAGGTTTCAGTGGCACTGATTCTTTAATAGCTTGGGTTTTTACTTCTTCTCTTTGGACTCTTGAGGACTACTGAATGCAATATGCCTCGATAGTGAGCAACAGGATTCACGGATTTTCTACCTTTGGCTCACCTCCAAATCATGAC